ATGTTATTCAAAATTATGTCGGATAAATAACATTTTCAGCAGCTCTTTGGCCACTTTCTCGCAGACCAAATTTTTTGTCGAAAGTTTTCGGCGATTTACATTGATGTCTAAAAGTTTTTTAGTTTAAAAAAATTCCTTTCATTTCACTGAAAATTTCCTTGATTGGCGAAGAAAGTAGCTTGCTAAAACGAATGGTAAAAAGTTTAATTTGTCTCCTACATCTCAAAGAACACAATTTTCCCGAGGAACGAATATCTAGTGAGTTAAACAATAAAATGATACAAAACTGATAGCTTTGGTATGTATTAAAAAGACACTTATTACTACATGTAGTATGTAATATGGCTGATCTATAGGATGCATTTACAGTAAGGGAATGGGGTGCAACTGAACAAAAATCAAGTCTACAAACTTTATTTATGAGGGACATTAACCGTAATTTTAATAATTTTGATCTGATTTTACTAGGTAGTATATAACGGAAAAATTAATAGGAAGGGGGGGGGGGCTGGTCTCCATGTCTCCCCCAGTTCTTACGGGCCTGATATTATACAATTATTTTTCGCTGACGAATTGAGAGGCCGTTCAGTAGTGATCACGCGGTGGAAGGTGTCAAAGTAGTCCAGCCCCACTCCCAGTTATTCAGAGTTATTAAATTGTATGTAATATAGTTTGCAAAGATAAACTCTTGCCAGCCCCCCCCCCTCCTTTGGGAAACACGGACGGACCCCTCGTAAGCTGGTCGAGGAGAATAACACAAGCATGACAAGATCTAGAACCCCCACATAGATAGGTTTTTTCACGTCCGGAGAGAGTTCGTTTTTTTTTCTTTTTTTTTTTGGTCAAAAAATATCCTAGTCGGAGAAATAGGTGATTATTTATCTCCCTGTGGGAATTTATTAGTATGTCTCCCTCCCAGCCCAAAGCAAAATTCCTGGTTCTCCCCTGACATTTCAAACACACTACCTTGCCCCAAAGAAAAAGTAAATCTAGCTTACTTCATTAACTCTTATTTTTCACATCACTACATTAAATCATGGACTTATTACTCCCAGGATTTAGTGGTCTTTTTTTTTTTTGGGGGGGGGGGGGTCACAAACACATTAAACCTTTTATAAAGGTTAAAGATTGATATATGTGTACCAAAGGAAAAAAATCTGTAATCATGCATGTGTTCATTTTCAAATCGAGATCGAGATCCCTCTGACTCAGATTCGTTTCATATTCATTTTCAGATTCGGATTCGTTTCATATTCAGAAACATCTCTATCATAAGACTTTGTGAATTTAATGACCCCTATGTATTTGCCTAACAAAAAATTTCTTTACAAAACCATATTTTATCAAAAAATGACAGAGGGTCATTATTCTACGGTGTCATTTTTCTACAATCCACACGGAGAAAAATGACCCAAAGGCCACAATTTCTACGAAAACGTGGGTCATTTTTCTATGTAGAATATTGACCAGGGGGTCAAATTTCTACATAGAAAAATGATCCCCGGTCAATATTCTACGGGGGTCCCTTTTCGTTGTTACACCGGCACGTGTATATTTTGAACTACTATTGTTTAATGACTTTTTTTAGTCGCATGTTTGTTTTGAGACTGAAATTTTTGTGCTACAAAACGCATTAACTTCTTTTAAAAATTAATTAAAATATACTAGAAATACTGACTAAGTAACCGATTTAGGTGGAAAAAGGGGGGGGGGGTCTTAATCATGTCGAATGGCAAACATATCAAGTTATGGTGAAGGAAGGAATTTTTCTCCCTAACAATAGACTTTATATACATTGTATGTAAGGAAGAAAAAAATTGTAGTGTATTACATTTAAATAAATATTTTTTTAACCACACTATCAATTTAATTCTCTCCAAAGATATTTAATTAACTGAATATTCGCAGTACTATTTAAAATTCTCAGAACTAGTTCTGATATGTATTTCTATAGTAATTGGGAAAAAAAACGTATTAGAAATAAATATTTTCGTAATTTTGCTACAGTTGGTAAATTAATTGACATGGATTATTATCTCTCCATTAGCGATTTGTCGTCTTTAAGATATCAAAAATGTTGCAGTGCTTGAAGTATCCGTGAATTGCCCGTATTCAAATTTTTTCAGCATCGTTCTACATAGGTACATACTTATACAACATTTATTTTCCAGAGTAATTTAATAAATAATCTAGCAGCTAAGTAAGAATAATAAGTAGAACATATTGTAGATAATTTTTCCCATGAAATAATGATCCTTTAAACACGAAATGTTAATTATTAAATTTCAATCCTTACGTACAAAAAGATAAGTCCTTTCACTTCGGAGTTCCGAATGACAGTGAAGACTGAACGATAAGTGAACGCTGAACGCAAGGTGAACGCAGCGTGAACGAACGGAGAGCGAACGGTGAAGGCTTTGTGAACGGTGAACGCGAGCGCACGGTGAACGCTGAACTGTGAACGGAGAGCGAACGGTGAACGCACGCTGAACGAACGGGTTGCACGCTGAACGAACGGAAAAATGGGAAAGTAGAACGTTTCAGGGACTGTATATATCTTTCAAATGGCGTTGAACAAATTGAAATATAAACATTAAAATTTGGTTTTGTTATATAATTTCAAATTCCAAATTGTAATGTAATATATTGCTTCGTTAAAAAGAAATCAATTTCAAGACAGGTAGACCTCTTTGAAAAAAGCAAATAAAGCGAAGTTGAAGGACTTCACGGAGCAGCGAGTATAGCGATACTATTTTGTTTTGCACTTGGGAAACCTCTAAAACAAACTCTGAAAATGCTGGAAGAACCCCGAAATATATCAAAAGTGAGTAGTGCATTTGTATATAAATGGTAAAGACGGTTTTTGAATGGTAGAGACATTGAATCGGACGATGAACGGTCTGCGAGAAAACAGATTATCATTTACAAGATCAAAAGAGTTAGTAACGTCATTGAAAGTGATATGCGGCTTCACTCTTGTGGAACTTGTAAAACCAGAGTTAATGATAAAGAATTATTTGAAAACACTGACAAACTAACTCTGATTCAACATCCAACTTCTTCTGCTAGCTTCTGAATGCCATACTTTCCCAAAGCTTTGCCTTATATAGTCAGGTCATTCACTATTTGAAGTCTTCAATGCGTTTTTCTCAAATGCTCCTTAACTATTACACCTATATATTCCTATGTAAAACTTTGACCAACTGTTTTCGCCCTGCCCTACTCCCGAGGGTCATGATTTGAACAAACTTGAATCTACACTACCTGAGGATACTTACTCAATTGCTAAAAATGGCTGTTCTTGAGAAAAAGATTTTTAAAGATATTTCCTATATATTCAAATGGTAAACTTTGACCCCTTGTTGTGGCCCTGCCCTACCCCCAGGGGTCATGATTGGAACAAACTTGAATCTATACTACCTGAGGATACCTCTATTATAATATGATGCTTTACTATTCTTGAGAAGAAGATTTTTAAAGACTTTTCTTTTATATTCCTATGTAAAACTTTGACCCCCTCTTGTGGCCTCAACCTGCCCTACCCATGGGGTTATGATATGAACAAACTTAAATCTAGAGTTTGTAATGAAGCTTTCATGTAATTTTTTCTTGCTCCGTGGTTCTTCAGAAAAGATTTTAAAAGATACCACCAAATTAAGTCTTTATTATCCCTAATAATAATAATCCCTGAGAGGGCGCAGCACTTCCTGTGAACAAACTTAAATCCCCTTCACCCAAGGATGCTTTGTGGCAAGTTTGGTTGAAATTGGCACAGTGGTTCTGGAGAACAAGTCGAAAATGTGAAAAGTTAAGAGATGGAGGCCGGACACTCTTTGATCAGAAAAGCTCACTTGATCCTTCGGCTCAGGTGAGCTAAAAAAGTGGTTTGGACTTCAGCCTCTCTTTGACAAATCCAGGGTATTCAAGATATCAAAGTTAAACCTAACGAAGTTCCACTGTATGTATTGAAAATTTTGGATGAAAATAATTTACATACAGATATTAAGCTCCAGCAATCTCACTCATACTAAGCAAGATACAATGGGAAAAATAAAACAGATATATTCTTAATATATTTTTTTAATTACCCAATGACTAGATTGCACATAACTATGTGGAACATACAACAAAAATACTAGCACTTTAGCTATATTTGTTCATAAATTTATATAAATCTATACTGTATATGTTCATAAAAAATGTGCAATTTCCAATAATCATGCAAGAACCTATCTTTTCACCATCAAGTTAATATTAATATACCATTTAACTATAATCTCCACTACAATTTCAATGGAATGTATACCCTCTACAGAAATTAAGTTAACAAATACACAAATGTTCACAAACAGCAAGCATCAGATGCATGGTATCTGATGTCACTGTCACAGTTCAACAATTCAGAGCTCCGAATAAATGAAATTTCTACCATCTTCATACTATAGCACACAATCTTCATCTCATATCATCAGCAGAGAACATACCCTAAAAAATGAAAATATATTTATTTCTGATAAATTTACTTTCAACATTTCAACAAGTATGACAATGTATTCAATTTCAGAAATTTGCTAACTGGCACCTCCAATGAGAAGAAAACAACTAATTATTAAACACAGTTGAAATTTGGTATCTCAAACATCATTATATCTTGAATACCATGGATATACCAAAGTAATTTGGAAATCCCAACCACTTATGCACATTTTAACCTCAATATCACGAATCCTCAGATATCTCAAAGTTATTTTCAGCCCCATCAAATTTGAGATGACAAAGATTGACTGTATAGTTAAAATGTTTGAAAATTGAGTACAGTCAAACCTCATTATCTTGAACTCAATGGCACTGAGAAAAAACTTCAAGATATCCGAGGATTTGAGATATTGAGGGTAATTTACTTAAAGAAAAAGTGGTTGGGACTTCCAAATCACTTCGACATATCCATGCTATTTGAGATACTGGTGTTCGCGATATTGAAGTTGAACTGTATATCTGACCTTGGCTCTTCGTAGAATGGAGTCTTTACTGGAATCATAGGGAGAATCTTTGCTGGGGATTTCTAACACTGCTGGGACAGGCTGGTCATGTGAGTCAATAACATACCGGATTTCCTCTGCAATCTGTAAATGAACGGTTTTATTTGAAATTACAGTAAACATACTTATTTCCACAGGGTCATAATTCCACAGAATCACATTTTTGTTCAATTTACAGGTAGAAAATATGCAGATTTTTTTGAATTGGATTGTCAATGTACATCTTAATTGGCCTTTAAGTACACTGTGACGAATTTCCATGGATAAAGTAATCTTACATGAAAAATGAATGTCTACAGTATTTATCTGTATCAAAAGATAACAGGGATGGATACAAGTTCCAAAATGTTGGACATACTCTTCGACTTTTTTTTAATATAAATCAACTGCTTCAAGTAATATATTTATGATAATAAAACTTGTATTTCCATGTTGTCATTATTAAATGAATCTTCTGAAGGACATGTAGAATCTCTATTAAAAATTCACAGAGGAAGACATTATCTTGGCAGGGATTAATCTAGGGCATATTTACTACCGATATTCAGTATTTTCCCCCAAGAGAAATTTCCCCTGAATATCCCATTTTCCTCTTTTGATGAGTAAAAAATTCCCCTTACAATAATAAAAGGCTCAAATAATTTTTATTCCTTCATTAAAAAACTGGTAATTTAACAGTAAAAATTTTCAACAGATGTGAAATATGGTTTTACTTTACTATTTATGTACTCTAAATAGTCATTATTAAGATACTGAAATTTAATTGGGCCCCCCAGCAGGGCTCGCCCTGCACCCACAAGGGGTCTGGAGTGGCCCCCAGAGCCCCGGCTGATTTTCCCAATTTCTCAAGAAAGGGTAGTTTCCCCCAAATCCTAGATTAATCCCTGCTTGAATACCTTTTTTTGTTTTGTTGGTTGAGTACACATTCCTCTACACCCAAAGAAAGAGAGCAGGATGGATTTAGAATTAGAGAAAGAAAATTATTGAAAGAACTGATTCTTTACCCTAAGCCTCTGCTGCATCAGCAAATTAAAAGAAACTTACTGTCTGATTAATTAGGATAATAGCTATGTCATCTCTTTTGAGAAATGCTCTGAATGTTTCCTCTATGTCATGCCTGCTTGTATCTATAATCATCAAGAAAATATTAATTTCATTACATATACAATGATATATACATAAATACATACATGCTATCAACAAACATCAAAAAGATGAGATTTACTGATTAGCAACCTAACCGTTTTATAGCATGGTAGTAACAAAAATATTTTACCTTTAAAGTTCAAGGAAATGAAAGAAAATTAAATGTTCTGATGAAAATTATTGAAAATAACCTTATTTGATCTTTGCAAGAAATGTTTTTTTCTTATACAGCAAGTTTGAAAATATTAACTTAAAACCTAACAACTTTGTCATTGTCAATGAATATAAGTAAACAAATATTGAGTATGTTTAAACAATCCTTATTTTTCATGAAGGCAAATTCATTTAAAGTCTTACTTTTGTCTACTACAAGGAAATTGGGCTCTCTTTTTTTGTTCAGTTCTCCAATACCTCCTAACAAAAATCCAGTGCAAGTGTCCTGGAAAGAGTTTTTCTTTAAACATAATACAATGTCATATGAATGCAGAGAAAATTTCATTTACTTCATTAAGTGCCCACTGCCCAACACTTGATCAATATCTATAGTTAGCTTTGAGTTCAATGTAGCAGTCAAGTCCATAATGAAAAACTAAGATTACAATTATTTAACTAGTAGTGTCAATGAGAGTTATCTCCCCAACTATCAAAGTAAACTGATGCCTGATCAACTGCATCTACCTCACAGAAGATGTAGCAATATTTCTTCCTACATGAATAAAAAGCAACGCTCATAGCATAGGGGTATCATGACTATGTCTAAGACTTCAGATTTGCACCATATAATTTTTTGTTTTACAATGGTTTGGGTCGTGGATATCAGTCTGAGTAACTTGGTCGATAGAGCACCTGATTAGTGGGTCACAAGTTCGATTCCTGGTCCAGCCATACATTTTCTCCTTTCCTGTTACAGATTTGGTGCCATTGACCACCCCTGGACTTGCAGGTGAAAGTCTTGCCAGTGGCTTATAAGAACTTGGGTTGTGTCTTCGAGGGTGAAGACAATTTAAGGAGGGAGGAATGTATTACAATGGTTTGGACCATGGACATCAGTCTGGGTAGCTCAGTTGGTAGAGCACCTAACCAGTGATGAGAGGTCCCGGGTTCGATTCCTGGTCCAGCCATACATTTTCTCCTTTCCTTTTACATTTTGTTTTAATCTTTGTAATTCTACTAATTCTGTTGCAATAGAACAGAAGGATTTGATGATATAAGGACCTGTTCGAAGATGCGTTGTCTCCTACATTAAAGTGTAAATGCAAAGTGTCCGTTTAAGGGTATTCTGTAGAAGTCACTTGAAATTCCAGTGTAGTCAAGAAGTATATAACATTGACAGTTTGTGTATTTTTCTATCATGTTTTCTTGTTATATAAAATTTTTAATTAGAATTTCAGTCGTGAAGATGTTACATGTTACTGGTTTTAAGATTCAGCAAAACTACTCTTTACCTCATCTCCAATAACAGCTATTAATTTTCCTTTCACCGCTGAGTGCGACATCTTGTCCAAGATCGAGTCATGTGATAATGATAAGGTAAGACTAAAATCCGAAGAAGACCATAAACATCTCGAAAAATAAACGGTTTAATGTTTAACGATTGATATTAAGATTTTTTTTATTTCCTTACATGATATATACATGTTTGAAATTTCATGCTATCGGTGAGATATTTTGTTTAAAAAAAATGACTTTATTAAAATTTTAAGCATTGATTTCAAATCCGGAACTCCAGCAAAAACATCAACCGTTTTGGGTTTCTACATTTATTTAAAAATTAATTCTAGAGTAAAAAAAAAACAACAGTTTCCCATTGAGTTGACATAGGCTACAAATCATATTTCATATTTGGTCAAATCAATATATCTGCAAATCAAAATTAAAGTCTGAGCAGTAGTAAGAGAGAAATTTTCAATTCCTGAACTTTTGACATTCGGTTCTCTGGGTACTGGAATTACCGCCTGCGTGTGTTAAAATATTGAATATTGACAGGGGAAAGCCCATTCGAGGTAAATTTTAATATATTGTAGAGAGATTGTCGGCATTTTTAGATATTTAAATACTAACTGGTCAAACGGAATCAAAATTGTTAATAGATATATGTGGAAAAAAGTTTATTTTTCTCTATAACACGTTAGGTAAGTGACAAATTACATCAGCTGTCAGCTTGTGATTGTGGCACATTATAAGACTTTCATTTAAAGTTGAAGCTATTAAACAATCTGTTGTTTAACAGTGTGCTTTGAAATGTGAATGCACGATTCGTTTATTAGCCCATTCATAACTATATATTATGTTTCATGTACCTGGTAAGTTTGAGTCATCAGTCCTTGTGGTACAGGTCCGGCACAATCTCTTGATTTAGCTATATAGCTTGATTTAGCTATATAGCTTTATTAAGCTATTCAGAATAGCTTGATTTAGCTATTTTATCGCACTTTTTTCTTAAATGTGTTATTTTCTCAGCATGCACAAAAAGTCGCACCTTGGTGCAGTGATGATATTCAACCTTGAACTCTTCTGAAAATAATGCATGTAAAAATTACTCATTAAATTGCGTCTCCTTAAGAGACTTTGCACTCATAGTTCTTAAAGTTCTGGGGCTATATAAAGCAACTGATACAGTTACTTCATTGAAATTATAAAGGAGGCCAATTATGGTCAACAAGATGATTGATTGGTAATAATTCAGTACAATGAGAAGCAATCATACTTATCCATGCCTCAACGCACACAAGGTACTGTACAGTTACTCAAACAACGGAAATTCATCTTTTGCTTAAAAGTATTCAAAGGCTGCAATGTTAGAACTATCTTTGATTTCGGTTGTTGTTTTGATAGCCCATAGTACGTATATGAATAGTCAAATATTTGCGACTTTTTGTCTATTTCTTACAAAAAACATTTTCTGAAAAACTGCACATAAATAGCTTTATCAAGCTATAAAATTTTGAATAGCTAAATAAAGCTATATAGTTTTTTCAAGCTATATAGCTAAATCAAGAGATTGTGCTGGACCTGTGGTAGTCATTTCTTATGTATACAAATATCATTTTGCATGATTTCACCATAACTTTCTTTTCAGATAATCAAAAATGTGGCAGTAGAAGAAAAATACACTTTCTACATACACTTTTAATACTAAAAGGAGTGCCACAATGTCTCTGATAGAAGGATTTGGTGATGAAGTAACAATTTTTCTGGCAATTATTTTAATTCTGCTTATAGTATGTTTAGCATGGATTTCAACAAACATAAGAGATATTCCATTTTTTAGTGTGATAATTATTGAATTGACACATAGACGAAATAGAGATACTGAGAATACCAACCAGGTTGAGGTTCAGAGTTCATCAGAGGTCACACCTAATTCAGACAGTCAAGCCAGTTCCGAGACTGATGCAGTTGGGACAGAGACAGTAAGTTCTGAAAATATTCCAGCTGGACAAAGTGAAGTGTTGGCTGAAAATAATCAAAATGTTCAGAGTACTAGCGAAACAGTGCAAGAGGAAGGAAAAAATGAAAACTCAGAAAGCTCACAGAGACAATTACCTCAGGAGAGTCAGACAGAGAGCATAGAGCTTCCTAAGCATTTGAATGAAAAAGAACTTCGTCAAAGACGATTACACTTCTTCCAAGGAAATAAGGACAAAGCTAACATATCAAATCCCCAATCTGCAGTGGACCCTCAAAATCCAAATAATTTGTCTAGTTTACAAGAATTTTCATCCCAAAGCTCTGTCACAGACTTTAATGCCAGACAACAGGAGACAACAGCAGATGAAAATCAACCAAATTCATCTGAGAGAGACACTGTGCAGTCCACAGAAACTGATTCAGAGACAGGGATTATCACAGTGAGGCTGAAGTATTTGAATGATACCCAGAGAAATGTTACAGCAGCACCAAATGTGACCATAGGACAATTCAGAAGGTTAGTATAAGTCAAATTGGTGTGAATGAGTTCCTTACTCCTTGGTCTTGTGTTCAAACAACAAATCACCATCAATGAATAAGCTAACTCATTCTGACATCTTGAAGCGGGATATATTATAAACAATCAAAAAAGTCATCAGAATTTTTTTTTTGGTCATAGTAGATTTAAGAATAGAAGGGGATGGGTTGAAACTGTTCACCATTAGTGGTTTAGTCACAAACACAGCCTTGATTCTCCTTCTTGATGCATAGCTTGTTTTGTACAAGCAAATAATCACCTTATAACACTGTTTTACAGTGTATAAGTAAAATTAAACTTATAATTCTGTGTTTTAGACTTATTTAATCTTTTCCTGGAAAAGTCCTTATTTGACTTCTCTTATCTTTTCTACTATTAATTCCACTCTCTAAAGTAGGCCTGGCTTGCCCGTCAATAAAACAAACTACCAGTTTGGGCAAACAACCATAAATTTCTACTGTTTAATCACAGGGTCTGGTAACATACTACACTTTTTACATTTATTTTTTTTTTTTTACATTCATTTTAACATTTATTTCACATAAAACCAAGCATATTATGCAGCCAGTCCCTGTGTGTTTAATTACTGCTGAATAATCCTTATGTATAGTTGCTTCTATTACAGAGACAATTTTGCCACAGAACTCTCGGAGAATAAACTGGTGCGATTCATCTTTAATGGACAAGATCTACGCAATGACTCCAACACCCTACAAAATTACAACATTGGAAACAACAGCGTAGTACACTGCCTGATCACTCAAGTCAATCAACAGACCCCTCAGCAGCGATCAGAGAATCAGGGAAGCTGCGACTTTGGGGTCGTTGTCCTCCCCATATTCGGCCTCATCCTTTGTTTTGTGTGGTACCTGAGATTCGAATATAGACAGTTCTTTACAGCCACTTCTACATTTATGTTGATCGGCCTGACATTTTTGTTCATTGCAGCTGTTCTGGCTTCCTGGGACAGCCAGAGACACAGGGAACAGGTTCCTCATGAACATATGGATTAGAGTTTGGTCTTCAGAATTGTTTTATTATTTGATTATGATTTTTTTTATTCTTTAGGTGATATTGGTATACATGTATGTACACCTGGCTGTGTATTCTTGCTTTGCTGCATACTGAAAGCATACATAAATTAGCACTCTCAAAATTTAGCGCAATCTTCTTCATCAATTGATTAGCATAATCATAAATTAGCACATTTGGAATAAATCTTCTATATACATTGTTTTAAATCATCTAATAGGGTGTACTTGAATTAGCAGAAAAGAAGCAGTGTGAAAGAAGCCAAAATATGATTGCCACTAAATTGAGCACATTTACAGTATATACTGTCCTTATTTTAGACTTATCAAGCTTTTTCACGAACATGAGTATTTGGAACAGTCAGTCTTTCTATTGAAATAAGAAATCTTATTTTTATGGTACTATATTCATGAACATTAAAGCTTCAAACATGACTTGTAAATAGGCATATGCCATATTAGTTTTCCTATCTCCTATCTCAGACAATAGGGTATATAAACCTTTCACATTCGTTAACCTGATTGCTTTTACTTTGTCATTGCTGCGTGTTGTTCATGTAACATATCTTACATTGTCCTTTTTGTTTATGTTTTATTTCATTGATGGTGCATTTGTGTTTATTTCACTCTGAAATGCATTCGAAAATCTATGGTAACTTTTTAGCTCACCTGAGCCGAAGGCTCAAGTGAGCTTTTCTGATCGAAATTTGTCCATTGTCTGTCATCGTTGTTGTCGTCGTCGTAAACTTTTCACATTTTCATCTCCTTCTCAAGAACCACTAGCCAATTTCAACCAAACTTGCCACAAAGTATTCTTGGTTTAAAGGGGATTTAAGATTGTTCAAATGAAGGGCCACACCTTTTCCAAGGGGAGATAATTATGAATTCATGAAAAATTAATGGCATCATTTAAAAATCTTCTTCTCAAGAACCACTGTGCTTGAAAATATGAAACTTATATGGAAGCATCCTCAGGTAGTGTAGATTCAAATTTGTTCAAATCATGATCCCCAGGGGTAGGGTGGGGCCACAATGGGTGATCAAAGTTTTACATAGGAATATATAGGAAAAATCTTTAAATATCTTCTTCTCAAGAACAGCAAAGCCATGATTGGTCATATTTATATGGAAGCATCCTCAGGTTGTGTAGATTCAAATTTGTTCAAATCATGACCCCCAGGGGTAGGGTGGGGCCACAATGGGCAATCAAAGTTTTACATAGGAATATATAGGAAAAATCTTTAAAAATTTTTTTCTCAAGAACAGCAAAGCCATGATTGGTCATATTTATATGGAAGCATCCTATGGTAGTGTAGATTCAAGTTTGTTCAAATCATGACCTTGGGGTAGGGTGGGGCCACAATGGGCGATCAAAGTTTTACATACGAATACATAGGAAAAATCTTCAAAAATCGTCTTCTCAAGAAGAGCAAAGCCATGATTGGTAATTTTTATATGGAAGTATCCTCAGGTAGTGAAGATTTAAGTTTGTTCAAATCAAAAAGCATTACCATAAGTCAAGTCTCAGACATGTGAACTGTTTTATGATAAACTATGCAGAAGTATGTGCTTTCATGTGTATGATATAAATATGTTTGCATATAGATGATATATATATAAAACAAATATTTTTTTTTATTTGTACAGAATTTATGTACATGTGTGTGTATAAAAACTATCTGGTTTATTCCTGCTTTTTTATTCTTTCTCCTATCAATCATGCAACTCTTTCTCTCTTGTGTGTATGTATATTGTATTACATGTATATGACTACACATGTATATAAGTGTTTACAATGTACTTTCTTTTTGCCCTGTGAGGGCCCTTAATTGGTAAATGAATTAAATCATGACCCCAGGGGGTAGGGTGGGGCCACAATGGGGGATCAAAGTTTTAAATAGGAATATATAGGAAAAATCTTTAAAAATCTTCTTCTCAAGAACAACAAAGCCATGATTGGTCATATTTATAAGGAAGCATCCTCAGATCAAGATTCAAGTTTGTTCAAATCATGACCCCCGGGGTTGGGTTGGGCCACAATGAGCTGTCAAAGTTTTACATAGAAATGCATAAGGAAAAAAATCTTCTCAAGAACAGCAAAGCCATAGTTAGTCATATTTGAATTGAAGCATCCTCGGGTAATGTAGATTCAAATTTTGTTCAAATCATGACCCACCAGGAGAATAAAGGAGCCATAACAGGGAATCATAGTTATGCAAAGGGATACAAATGATATATCAATAAAAATTGTCTTCTTAAGAACAGCAAAGCCATTATTTGTCATATTAATTCAAAAGCATTCCTATGAAGTATAGATTCAAAATTAGTTCTAATGCCCCCCCCCCCCCCCCCGAACCACTTTTATATCAAAACTTTTCAAGACTGAACTGATTTCTGCTTTTTCCTAGCCATAGTGCTCAGGTGAGCAATGTGGCCCCTGGGCCTCTTGTTATTGATGTGGCAGACATTTATGTTGTAGCCAAGATTTGAAAATCTTCTAAAATAAATAAAAATCCTGTACTTTTCCATTTTAGGAAATAATTTTCTAAGTGATATAATCCAATTACATGTAAGTGTATCACACATATTATATGTACTTGTAATTAAGATTTTCTGTATATATTGATTCATAGATTGTTCTCTTGTAAGTTAATTTGATATACATGTAATTAAATCTTTATTTGGTACATGGCATTGGTGATTGTTTCAACAAAAATTTGAAAACTTGTTAATGGTAAAAATGAGTTTGGTTGTAAATGGAAAATGACTTGTTGTACTATGTACAATATGATAACATTTCTGTATCAACAATTTTTATTATAGGGTATATTGTTATATGAAAAAGTTTTTGTTATCATTTGCTACAGTTATGTGTACTGATTTTTTCATCATATTTGTGTAAAACAATGAGAAATGACTGTACTTGATTATGTGTTAAAAGGTTCCTCATCCCTCAGAGCACTAATATAAAATATTACTTTAACGCTATTTGTTTTCCAGCAGAAATTTTAAATAATTTTTATAATTACAACTAAAATGCAAACAATTTCAGGATATCTTGTGGGGCAAATTTGGACAGAAATGGCCCTTTAATTTGACATTTATTTTATAAACAGGAATAATAGATATTTATCCTAGTTAGAGTTATCCCTCTTGTTACAGGATCAAAGAACCTTAATAATTTTTTATTATCAGCAATGAGAAAAATATAGTAGGCCTTCATGTAAGCTTGTAGAAATGAAAATTTCATTTCCTATTTTCCCATTTTTAATTGCTTAATAAGTCTAAATCATTCACAGGATTTTTTTTTTATTTTATATTATTTTTCTTTCTTTGAAGTTCAGATATTAAGGACTTCATATTTTAGTATAATTTTTATTAATTATTATGGGTAATAGAACTTCTGAAAGCAGTGTATTGTTGTGCCATACTTGTTTATATGTATTATGCTCTAAACATTTGTAATTTCTTTCATAACTTAATTGTGCACTGTGTGAGATACATAGAAGTTAGGCATTGAAAAGGATGAGGATTGTTTTTATTGTCAGTTCCCATACTAAACTTGTGTTAAAATCTTCACTTTTAAGTTGAGCAAGAATTAAAATTAGAAAACATGCCTGAGAATGAATTGTCATTGAAGTTAGCTAAAGAACTCTTTTAGGTGCTGGTTTTCTTAAACAAACTGATATTCCCTTAACTTGGACTGGACATGGTTATGATCATGATGGAGAAACCTGTTTGTGACACATTCATTTGATTACATGTATATACTTAACCTCTGTGTGCTGGTTTGCACTTAAGGCCATTCCCAGAGCCTTCCATGTATGTACAGTACTGTAAAATCTACACTACCACATGATGATGCTTTCCTATGAGTTTTACAATATATAGACTTTTAGTTCTTGACAAGGTTTTGAAAATATTATTTTAACCGGTATGCAAGTTCAAATGTAAAATTGAAACCCAACAGTAGACCCATCCTGTCTCACTATCCTGCATTTGGAAACAAACAAAAAAAAACTAATGATTGATGTCTATAGCTTCTTTAACAATTTTTAAAGATTTGTCCCCTATATATTGCTGTGTAAATATCCCAGTATGGCCTCAACCATGCCCCAGGGCCCATGATATACAAGATCGAGATCTTACAAGGATTGTTGCAAATTAATTTTGGAATTGTTCTTAAAGTGTTGGTCCTACAGCTGATTTATCCTGTACACTTTTATTGCTATGTGAAGCATATCTACTGAGGTCCCCACCTTAGTCCCATGGAACACACAATTTAAATATGAATCTACACTATATATGTGAGGATGTTCCATATTAATTTGCCTAATGATGAACCTGCAGTTGAGGATTGACATTCAATTTTATATCTCCTGTCCTGTTCATTCACATGAACTATTTATCTGGTAACTCCACTCCATGGTTTAGAGTGTGGAATTGGTATACTGTAAAGCAGAATTTTGATCCTAAAAGGGCTTTTGATATTTTCCATAGTGATGACAATAAAAAATTTTATTTATAGTTTTTTAAGTAATGCAAAATACCAAAAGATTTTTTTTCCATCTGTAGTATGTATATGTTATACCTTCCTAAGTCCAAATGAAGTGGAGCACATAGCTCAGTGGTCATAGGTGTTTGGTCAGAAAACCAAAGGTCACTGGTTCAAGTCCTGCAGTGGGCACTTGATGTGTTGTGTCCTTGGATAAGGCACTTTATCTGCATTATATCAGTCAAGTACCAGCTTACGCTGGGGGTTAACCTGCGATGGACTTTTGTACCATCCAGGGGGGAGTCGATGACTCCCATCTGCTTAGCACCACAGAAACTGGGTTTTAGCACCGCCTTTTAAGCCTCAGGGGAGGATTAATTTCTTCCAAGATCTAATGAATTGCAGGAAAATGGTGAAACAGGGTCAAAATGTGTTTTTTTTCCACAAGAAACGTAAACTAAATCAATCTACTTTAGGTGCAATTTGGAATGCATATGTTGCACATTTCAGGATTATGAAGAGCACTGGATGTTCCTGTAATTTCAGCAAGGGAGATAACAACAGAACACTTTTTTTCAAATAGAAAAATTATCAACAATCATAATTTGTTCTAAGTATTACAATTTTATTGATTTGAAAGATATTAATTTAACAAATCTTTACATCAACACATAACTGGTTATAATTATTTAAGAGATTTATACAACACAGTTACAATCTACAAAAGCAATGTGCTCTCTTATGAAAAATTTAATATTCACTTTGTGCAAGAAAAAATAAGTCGAAATGTTTACAAAATGCATTGGTTGATTAACCTTTTGATGATAGAAAATAAACAACACATAAAAAAGACATATAGTTTAAAACTTGGAGAGTTAAAAACAATATCTGAAACATGCCAATTTTTCTTCAATACTTTGAAAACATATAATTCCTATATGAAAGTGCTGCATTGATTAAGAAAAGTATGTGGCACAACACATAAGAGATGAATTGATATGACTGAAATGTGTAATTGCCAGCTATTCTGAAGCACTGTGATATGTTGACAGGGTTTGTGAAGCCAATGGTTTTCACTGGAATGTGTTCTGTTTTGTTTGGAGGATGCTAATGGACCCAATGACAAATGATTTCAGGGACTAGAAACAAAAATACATGCTAATGTTTTGTTGTAGTTGGCTTTTTGCAGCAGGTGGTCCTATCAAATGTAAAGATGAAGACTATACAGATTTCTTTCTTTAAAAACTTTCTTTTCAATAAATTTAAATTCAGGGCACTACATTCATATAAAGTAAATTATTGCTATCTGAAAACTGAAAAATTACAAAACCTAACCAAAACAGTTTGGGTTTCAATCAAAAAATACTTTATCTGACTACGATTTCCATATACTGATCTTTTAATGAATAAATACGGACCATGAAAAAAATTATAAATCTGAATAGATAAGTTTGATGACAACCAAAAAATCTTGTTTCATCTAATTTTCATTTGCTTCCTCTTTTAATTTTCAAGTTTATTCTTTTCTTCAGACTGTTATTTTCCAATGTAAATTTTTTGATTAACTAACTGAAACTTTTTTCCAACATGAGGAGCTCTGGCATAATTAAATTTACTGGGAATATTTTAGCTCTATTAATAAGAACACAGGTTTGACTTGAGGTATCACATTATCATCTTCCCAGAGAGAACAAAAAACCCAGAGAGTTTGTTACACGTACATATACACATCTAACTGACAGTAAATGTAAATGCCAATCCAGAAATATCTTAAATTCTATTTACAAATTTTACAAAGTCCAAAAAAAATAGTATATCCAGTCATTAGTTATAGAACTCAAAATACATGACCAGGATCACACTACAATTGTAAATTCTGAGGTTATTAAAAGTCTAAGACACTTATATCTTCCTCGACGACATTCACAACATCATAAATATATTCAAAATCTGCCAACATCAATATATATAAGATTTGTGTTGATAGCTGCAATGAAATCATAAATAGAATTTGCATAAGAAAAGAAGTGTTTTTCTTAAAAAAGGAATAAATAAAATGAATGGTTGTGACGACATTTAATCAGTCCCCACTCTCCTCCATTTTTTCCTCGTTACTGGTTGACGACGGAGAAGGAGATGTGGATAACATCAGCTGTTTCCACCGAGCTTCAAAAAACTTCCTCATGTTATGTCCGGCGCGTCCCACCTCGGAATCATCTTCATTGAATGTCTGACAGTTATTAAATATCAGTCTGACATCTGCTGCAAAGTCACCACGAGTTTTGTACCTTAGGAGGCAAAGAGAATTTGTATCATATTTATTGACTGAACAACATGTAGAGAAATGTAAACAAAGTAAGCATGTCGTTTAATGCATACAAGTATCATACTAAGACCAGATTTGTATTACGCTATCAAATAAATTATAAGATCAACAAAGATATTTCAATTTTTGACCCATGAAAGGAAATCTGAAGATTTTTCTTCATACAAGAGATCAGTTTAACATTTTAAAATCTCTTTAACTCCGTAATTTTGACTACATACTGGTTGTCCCTGAGTTTGTTTTTCATGGTGGCAAAGTCCATTGGTTGTCGGATGTACTTCTTGTATGCTGGGAATTGTTTGAAATTGACGGGTTTTAGGAAAGGCCATCCTTCATCGTGTTTGTCCATCTCCGTCAAAATCAGCCTGAAATAACACAGTGCCTCCTTTATATAAGAATAAATGAAAGGAAACTTTCCATTCTTCTCGCCAACTCAGTTTATTTTTCATTAACAGAAAAACAAGTGGCACAATTCACATTTTATTCATTTAATGCACTCTATCCTTTTTTGGTACATGTATTTATTCCATGCTGCAAAATCACTTAGTTTTGTACGGTCAAATTTTCATGGTTCAAGGGAAAAATATTGGTTTAATGAGGTATAGACTTTACACTGTTTTAGAGAATTTTAATATTTCATGGGGAACATGAATTCATGGTTCTCTTCTTACCACGAAATCAACAAAATTTTTATTTTATTTTACTTCCTTTCCAAAATTGTTATCATTGCTATGACTGCCTCAAAATTTGCCCCTTACTCTATATGAATTTTATTTGAACAGTTAAACATACTCATAGTAAAGTTCCAGAAACAAATAATTTTCATTTGTTGAAAAATGTTTGAAAACTGAAATCAGCGAAAATGTATCTATGCATTATAGTATCTTCATTTTTTGCTATAAAAATGTCATAATTGCAAATTCCATTTTAATTCACATAGAGAATTGTGGTCCAATATTAAACGTATTTCTCTGTTATAGTTACCTGCAAACAGTCATGTCCTCAGAGTGCTCGGCAGCCTGTCTCTTTTTCTCCAGATCCTTCCCTCTTTTCTTCTCCGGCTTCTCTGAAGGAGTACTCTCCATAGCTGATCTACTCCCAGCATCTGAATCCTTTCTCTCTCTCCCAGATGTGTTGTTATCTTTAGTTTTCTTTTTGGGACTTTTCCTTCCTTTTCCCTTTTGACCCTATTAAGTGGTTCAAATACAAGTATGTGCATCATGGAAATTGCAGAAAAAAATAAAATTCACATTAGTTACACATTTCTGTTTGCTTTATTTGTGCATTAAAATGAAAATCATTTGATTTGCATGCAGAAATGTACAATTAAATAAACAGCTGATTTTAAGCTTGAATCAGAACTCTAACCTGGTTGACTGCACAAGCCGGACACACCCATTTCCTAGGCATGCGAGGTAGGGGTGGATCTAAGCAGTCAAGGTGAATGGCACGGGGACACATATCGCACTCCACAATCCTCCCCATTCTTTTACCACATACCACACAGCATGGCTCACCAGTGGCCTAGCGAGACAAGTAGAACAAAAGTTCACAATAAAGCCTTATGTTCCATAATGGGTGTATAGTCATTTTAAGCTGACCTGACTGATCATTTAAAATGTGCTGTACATTACGTATTCCTGATTGTCAGCAATAATTATACTTATTCCATAAGGTCTGTGTTCCCTACCTTTGATATGCATTCATAACAGTACCAGTCTCCCTCTGGAATATTTTCCATCTTTGGCTTAAAGAGAAAAGAAAAATAACATTCACGTAGTATTGCATTTGCACAAGAAACCCGATGGAAATAAAAAAAAAATTAAACAGTAATCATGTTTTTTGTTTGCCTAGAAGTTGTAAGATTAGACATAAACCTTGAAGCAGTAGGTGTGGTACCCACGATCACAACCGTCACAGAGGAGAAGCTGAGCCTCGTTATCATCTCGACGACATAACTGACACAGCTGTCAACACAATAAATAGGTGTCAATTTTAATATCAATCCGAATACATTAATGCACAGACACAAATATATTTAACAGATTTATAAAAAAAATTAATTCGGCTTGGTTCTTCAAAAATTTTCAGGAAGGGCTATCATTTATACTACTATTTGCACTGATGGCATATTAAATCTGTTAGTATTCATACAAATATTTTTTAAGAGTTTCCAACGTTGCATATGACAATTTGATGAATAAAATAGTTTCTGGAATTTGTAACTATATCAAAACTATGAATACATGTACATCACAATTAAGTTATTTTTTCCCATAACAGTAAAGCATATAGAGAACTGCATTTATATACAATACTTTTATTCCCTGATTTGTACTATTTGTTACCCACCACTTTCATTATGGACTTTTCCCAGGATATGGACTTGTTGAGTAGGGACACACACAGAGACAGTTGGGCGGGGCTGGAGGCCTTGGTCACGGCATTCCTCCACAACATCAGTCCCTGGGATATCTGGACGGGGTCAGATGGCTTACCCTCCTCATCTTCCTCATCATCATTCTGGCTCGTGTTAGCTGTCATGTTGGCCAGGTTGATCTGAACCCTGGAGTAATTGAGAAATGATGAAAAATAATTTTTTTTGTGATATCTTAGAAACAACATCTGAATCCATCTTATATTTTTTGTCATAAGCACAGATGCATGAATACACTGGAGCAAAGGTGGAGAGCTTACATAACAAATCAATTATAAACAGATTATAATTTATTCTTATACATTATAGATTCTTATACATTACAGACTTTTTTTTTAGAATGATAGACTGTGTCATGCAGTTAACAGTTGTGTGAAAGTCAGTCAATGTATCAGGTCTCAAAAGCTTAGTGGTTAGAGCACTGGCACGGTACATCAGGGGCCCTGGGTTCGAGTCCCAGTTGAGACTTGATTTTTGACCTTCTATGACAACTGCATTTACAGTGAAAGCTTTATCTTTGAAGTGGCTACACATTTTACAGGTTTTTGCTTATTCTTATCCATGATGCTCCAGCAGTCAGAACTATTTTCGGTTAACCTTAATTCTGCAAATTGTTGTCCCTCTCTACTACACAAGCACCCTGAAAATATATGAACTTGTACTTACTGCTTACACAGTGGAGGTTTGAGGTAGCGTCTTTCTATGTTGGGTTCTAGCTGAGCCAGTTTCTCTATGGCTGCATCAAGTGGGTATTTCTCATTTGGTCCCAGCTTCTCATGGTTAAACCTGTCTACCAGTGTAATGTTACCCTCATCGGAGATCCTCTGAGGAACTTTCCAACCCTAGTAATTAAAGAGAGAAGTAAAATTTAAAATTCAAATAAGCACATTAGAGATACAGTATTTTTGATATTATTACACTATCTATTTTAAAAGGATTACAATTAAATTCAAAGTCTTTTTATTATCTTTTCCCCTTTTTCTCTAAACAAAATTTGAAACAACATTACTTTAAGTCTCTTCTATGTTAAAAATCATACAATAGTCCTCTGAAAATCAGATTATGTATTTGATGCTATGGTTTTCATTGATACTGACCTTGACCTGAAGGCTGGCTGAAGCAATCCTCTCCTCTAGATTCTCTACTTCCTCCAATGCCTGAAGCTCCACCTGGTGACTGAGATCAGCCAATCGAATCTTCTCTTCCTCCGGATCAATGGATGTCTCTACCTCCGTGTTCTCTTCTTCATCTACAAAAAAATAATTTATTACATTTACAGAACATATTCTTTAAGACAGTGTCCACCGGTAAACAGAAAATTTAAGTACATGTATTCTAATTACATCATCCAAACTTTAACTGCATTTATTTTTTTCAATATGCCACATAGATATCAACCTTTCTTTTCTGATGAGGTGTCCTCTGAGGACTTCATGTCCTCATCCTTTTTCTCCTCTTTCTCATTCTTCTGTATCTCCTCCGTCTTGTCCTCTTTCTCCTCATCATCACTTGTGTCAGACACCATGCTGTACACTGAATAATATGACGTGTAAAATTAGCAATACAATCCAGGATATAAATGCATATGTTTTCATTTAAAAAGAAGGATAAAAACACCAGTATATCTGATAATTTAAAGTGCTCCCTACCCTCTTTGTTGTCTTGTTTACAGGAGGAGCAGGCATGTTCTAGACATTTCTGGAGTGACTTTTGGAGGGATTTCTCTCGGATTCCCCGTGGATGAAGATTCCTGTGGACTATTTGCACTTGCCTCTCCTCAGAAATCTTCCACCATCCTTTCTGGACCTCTGTCAAAAACAATGGTCAAAGTAAGGAATATTATCTTTGGAGATTTTAATTTTTTTTAATATATAGAACTTGTTGAAAAGAAAATTTTGTTGCAGTTTCCTGTAAGTAAAAAAATTAATGTTTAATAAAGAAACACTGATATTCATCAAAATCATATTCTTGTCTTTCTATACTTATCACAAATAAGCTCACCTTCAGGAATGGGTTGTGCTTCTCCTTGTAATTCTGAAAGGAGGGATTCATTCTGTTCCAGAATACTGGTGGCTGGGGTGACCGTTTCTGACCTTGGGGTGTTTGGAATCTTGAATGAGTCATTGACACTGGACTGTGCTGTAGAGTTGAGAGACATGCCACTAACATCGGAGGTTCCAAACAATTGTGACACATTGAAAGATGAGAACGATGGGCTCTGAACAGGAAAAGAACTGAATGAAAGTGGTGATAAAAATGAGTTCTGGAACGGACTAGGTAGGATTGACATCTGGGAAGACCCATGTGTCATGGACAAATCATCACACGGAAGTCTTGGCAGAATGCTGAACCAGGGCTTCTGGCTAGAATTCTCACTGAATGACTTAATCATCTGATCTGGGGTCATCGGAACCAAAGGAAACATTGGGGACGGGAAGAGACTGCTTTTGCTGGAGGGTGATGCACTAGTAGAAGTACTGTCCTTTTTCAGTAAGGAGTCTATGCTGAGGAAGTTATGCTTGGCATCAGCTGAAGATGGTGTAGAGGACTTTGGTTGTTGATGAGCTGGCAGTGGTGTGGATGATAATGTGGATGAAGATGCAGATGACAATGACATACCACCAAGCAGTGAGGGACTGGCCCCTGAGATGGGTGGTGAGAAGAATGGGGAGGGGGCAGCTGGATAAGGGGATATCAATGGGGAGGCATGAGCACTACTGATGATGGGTTTAATGTCACTGTCTGACTTAGAGCTTGAATGACCAGGCTGGCTACTGGAACCATTTTGTAGATGTGAATTTGTGTCCGAGCTTTCACTAATTGCACTATTGCACCTGGAGGTAGATGGGAATGAGAAATCTTCTCCATTACACTTGGGCACTGAGTTTTCTGTTTTGACAGAGTTTGATATGTTTTCCGATGGCCTAGTTAAGGTTTGGTCAGATTTACTGGAATTTTGATTGGAATCACACTTTTCTGGGATGAATCCTTCTGATTTTATCACATTCTGCACATCACATTCATTTCTTATTTCTTTCTTGTACACAGGAATCTTCAATATGTCCTTCCTTTCTTTCACTTCCTCTTTGACTTCTGTTTTCACTTCAACAGGTTCTACCTTTACTTCCTCTTTCACTTCTTCCTTCACTTCCTCTTTCACTTCTTGTTTCACTTCAACTTTTACTTCCGTTTTCACTTCCTCATTCATGCAGCTACTTTGAATTTCTTCATCAAAGTACCCTGACTCCTGCCCCTCAATATACACACCCCCTGCTGTAGGCAGCACCCAGTAGCGACGTTTGTAACGATCCTGACCCAGGGATATTGCACGAACCTTATGTGAAGCCTTGAACACTTTTGCACGGTACTGAGCATGTTGCTGAAATAAAGATAGTAAAGATTGTTGATAACGAAGAGCTGCTAATACAAGTACTGGTATGATAAATGTAGTTTTAACTTTTCCTAAGTACATGTACTCCATACAAGCTAAGAATATTGAATTAATCCACATTTTTTTTACCTTCTGAAGTTTTTCAATTTCTTTTTCACATTCCTCATATGATGTTGGCTCTTCATCCTATTCAAGAAAATCAACAGGAAATGTTGAGAGATCCTGTACATGTAATTTCAAAATCAAAAGAAAAAAATATTCAGATTTTTACTTCCCATACAATTTTTTCATCTTAAAATTCCTGGATCCACACCATATTTTCAAACCCCGTTTGAATCCTATTCTTAAGTTTATCACTGGTATGCACCAATCTTTACAACTTCATTTATCTTCAAGCTGATATTTTTCATGAAGACCCTGTCCCCTATACAACTCTCACCTCTCCATCTGCCTCATTCGCCCCCGTTTGATCCTCCCCTCCACTTTCATTCCCACTCTCTTCTTCTTTTTCGTCTTCTTCATCGCTCCCTTTCTTGCTGGTCATCTGAGATGTACTTTCACTGTCTAGTGGTGGAGGCTTGGGAACACTCTTAAACTTCTTATTGTGAACAGCCTTCAGTCTGTCACAAGTAGAGAAATTTCATTACCATAAATTTAACAACCTGTCCCTTTTTCTATAATATTTAGCTCTGTGATTCTACATAGAGGTAACATATCTTTCTGATGGCCCACCTTCTGAGTTTTCCTTCCACAACCCACTTGTCTCTACGTATCTCACCCATGTGTTCCAGCTGCTTTTCTATCTCCCTGTTAACAGTAATACATTAGATATTCATTACTATATGGATGTAAAAGTGACTCACTCCAGTTCCTGTTAATATTGAAGGTTCATTATACAGGACATCAATCACACAACATCAATTCTTGTTTCAGTTATTCAGCCAATATATTTTCTTTTTTTTTTTTTTTTACAATTCCATACTAATAATAAACACCTACTTAAGCAGATTTTTAAATTAAATTCAAATTTATTAAAGTTTAAGACAGGATTTTTCTTGATGCTTACAAGACAATGTGTCTTCCACACAGCAATTCATTGACAAGGAATGCTAACACTGAGGCTTTCTGAGATGTGGTCAGGGATTCTAGTGGTTTAGAACTCAACCAATCACTCATCTGGAAAAAAAATAATAAAATCAGTTTACGAGTAATGCAAAACTAAACTGTCATATCCCCAAAAATGCTATATCAACACTGCCACTGATAACAAATCAGCTACAGCAAGGAATGTTCATTTATAACCTGACTCTTGCATTAAAAAAATGTGTCTACAAAATGTCAAAATTAAAAATAATGAAATAAAAATTCTAAAACCATAAAATATAAATTCTTAAAATTTAATTCAATCATATAATTAAAATTTCTAAAATTTTATTTGAAATCACAAGAATAAAATTCAAAAAATTTAATTAAAAATCATAAAATAATTTTTTTTTCCAAATTCAATTGAAAATCCTAAACTTTTGTGTTTGATCTCAGGTACATAGTGACATACTTCATTTGGTTTTCCATTCCTAGCAATGATAAAAATCTTCAGAATCTCAGACACCACAGATTCAGTGATGGGGACATCTGCTATTTTCTGACCAAGGCAAGTGGTAGCCTACAAACAAATCACAGGAATGTATATATGTTTGTAAATGCCTATTTTACCCCTCAAGTTTACACCTAAACAAAGTTTAATACAAGCGATAGTGATAGGCTTAAAAACTGTACAGTGAATGTCTTCAACTGCTCAAGAGAATTTATTAGAAAACAACTAGTAAAGGTTTTTTTTTCATTCAGTCAGAGTACATGTACCTAAGAATACATGTACAGTAAGACAAAGTTACAGCAAACACACTTATAATGAATTCACCCTTAAAGCAAAGTGATTTTCATTTCCTGTGACTTTAAAACATATCATGAACTTTACAAATATAACTAATTACATTTATATCCAATCAAAATTGGTCATCCCCGGCACTTTGTTATAAGCATGTTTTACTGTATAAATTTTCCTTACTTCTCTAGGGTTGGGTACCCCAGGTTCCCGTACAGCATACTTCAACAGGTGGCAGGTCAAGGCCATATAGTTCTCCCCATCTTCCTCTGTGGCAAACATCACTTGATCCTGGAGGGATTTAAGAGTGGGTAGGGTATCTTCATCTTTAAAAAAAACAAAAAAAAATCCAATAATTTTAAAAGTTTAACCAGACAAACCATAGATTCCCACAGCTTCTTAGAGCACTTTCCATTGGCACCTCTGCATGCTTGAATTTTTTTTAAAGATTTTCATATATTCTACCTTTTTTTAAAAAAAAATTTCTACCTTTGCTTTTTTTTTTTATAACGGTCAACTTACAAGTTAATTTATAATTTCAAAGCATTTGCTTTTTGACTGATAATTACCAAAACCTAAAGCATCCTTGAAATTATGAACAAACTCCAAAACCATCAAAATATCCCCGAAGGCCACAGCATCCAATTTACATCCAGGAATTCTCCCAAAGTCAGGCAATGCCTACAACATAAACAGTCATGTAAATTCAAATATCCTATTTAATCAAATTAGGCATCATCTCCTAACTTTGTCAAATTGTAAAAGTGTCTCTCAGAACTCAAAACAACTTTAAAATGGGTAAGATCGAGAAGTTTTTGCAATTTTCTGACACAATTAATCAGCAGGTATTAGGGAACCTACCCTATGGTCCTTCAACTCCATGTCCTCCACAGGTTTCTTCAGCTCTCTTGCTAGCTGTAACTCCAGGCGTCTCTGTTCCTGAAATCACACAGACATTTACATGTACACTTAAATACAAACTTGATCATGGCAGGACTATTTGTAATGTACATGTAATTTCAAGAGATTGAACCCTGGACAGAGGCATATACGTACAACCATATCCTTACATACAAACTTGATTACTGATAGATTAACAATAACTAATGTTTTTCAACAGATAGAACCCTGAAGGTTCCTAAAATATTTACCATCTTTTTCTCTCTGTGTAACCTCTTTTCCATCATTCTGTCCTCTTTCAATTTATCTTTCTGAAATGATGAAAATCAAGATAAATTTACATCTTTAATTCTGATGACTTCAGCCCTGTGGGAAGGGGGGTTGTTGTTGTTCCCCCTCCTCCCATTACAATAATTTTACCATAGAATACCATTGCTAATTTAAGGTTGTGCCCCCTCAATAAAGTCTGATGACCTTTCTTTTTTGCTTGTCAAGGAATTTTAGTTGATCCCCCCCCCCCTGCACCAAACCACCTCTCTTTCCAACTGATATTGCCTCCTACTCCTACAAGCCTGGACTTAAAAATTGTCATAAGTATGGAAAGTTTCAGTTAAAACAACTTACTGCCTGTTTCTTTTGTTGCTCTATTGCTTTCACCAACATGAAATGATGTCGTTTACGCTCTCTCTCCTAGAAATAAATAGATGTGTAGGTGTATCTATTCAGTATGGGCAAAAATAGCTTTTCATTTTAATTTAAAAAAAAAATTTAAATAAATTTTCAAGGAAGTAAACAAACCTGTTCCTTGACTATGATGGCTTGGTGCCTTTTCATTTCCCTTTCCTAGATAAAAAAAATAACAACATGCATGTACATTGTATATATGTCCTGAATTAGAATATATGGCAAATATTCACATTTCAGCATAAAGGTCTGTACTACTTTTTTTCTTCTTTTCAGTATAATCAGAAAATCATTATAAAAGAAAGGTGAAAATATCTAGATGAAGATAGCTTCAGATTAAAAAGATATTACCAGGTATGTGATAAAGGAAAAGTTATATGTGACATTTATGCAATTTGCAACTCAAGGGAAAAAAAATAATGAATATATACATATGCATGTGGCAATTAAAAAAGAAAAACCGAACATGGGTTAAATCTCATATGGTAACAAATTTGCCATAGAGAACAAAGCTGAGCAATAGGGAAAAACCATCAAGGTAAACTATACAAAATTTTTAATTACACTTTTACATTATTTTTCACATCATAAATGAAATCATGAAACAATCTCACTCTATTTTCCAATCCATCCCTTCATTAATTTAAAAAATCATCCAGTGATTACTATGTAGCTAGTACAGATCAATCTTTTTTAAATTCGTGACTATTATTTATAGTATATGGATATAAGCAACACTCTGTACTTGAGAATACAAAGGATTTCACTCCAGCCTGCAGTATTTTCCCTATAACAATTTCCCTCTGGTATGATAAATAGTGAAGATGTGCTTATTATACATGTATTTGGTATTTTGGTACTGTATATTTTATTATTGTATGTTTGTGGAATCAAGTAATGGGTGCACAGTAAAACTTGTTTAGTACTAACATGGATATAGCGAATTTACGGACATAGCGAATTTTTTTGCAATCCCCAGCAAATTTCTTTACAATTTCTTGTTAAAGTTTACAGATACAAAGAACTCGCCTATAGCTTATTTATGGTTATAACGAACTGATTCTGTATCCCCTAGAAGTTTACATTTTTTATAGCGAATTTTCAATGATCTTAACTTTTGAAATATTGAAATGAAATCAATTTTGTAAGAATGTATATTTGAACTCTGAGGTAAATTTTGTATTTTATACTTCCCTAAATACATTTTGAAGTCATACTTGAAGGAAAAAATCTATATTGCCAATTGGCTATGTATACTTTTAGGAATTCAGTATACGGATATAATGAATTACGGATATAGTGAAGTAAATTCGAAGGTCCCCAGAACATCGCTATAACCGAGTTTTACTGTAATATCTCCATTAAAATGTCTTTTGATTATGTGTCAAACTTAACATACATGTGCATGTGTATTATGCATAATCTTAAATATTCTACATTATAATAATAATATAATAATAAAAAGGACAAGAAAAAAAGCACTACTTTATCAAAAGCTTTCATATTGATAATGTAAGCTAATTTGAACATACAATGGCATTGCCAAAAACATATTCAAAACTACAAGCTATTAAAATGCATGAATATACAAGAAATTTGATTTAAATAAAGAGAAAACTACATTGAAAGAGAGAAATATAATGCTTTTTACAGGGTCCAGTTATAAATGTATAATAAAAAGCAAGAAATACATAACAGCCCTTATAAACTACATATATACTGAGGGCAATAAAGGGAGGAAACTAGCTGTTCAATATAGATGTATCTACAGAGTTAGCCTACTTACTCTTTCAAGATGATACCATAAAAGGTTTGACTGTAACAAATATTCAATATAGATCAAAATCAAGGCAATTTTTCTAATTAAAAAAAAAAAAAATAATTACACACTTTCTATTCACAGATTTTCTTTTATGATATTTTTTTCCCCATGAAACATTCATCTGAATATGTCAGTTATAAAACACAACAACAATGCTTAGCTCTCCAAGGCAAATTTGCAACAGCAATACATGAGGAAACAAAAAAGAAAATCAACTAAAAGTTTGAGAAAAAATAAAAAAAAAAAAAAAAAACATTTGAAAAGATTTTAAATAATGGTAATAAATATACTGCTGTGTCAGCTGTGATAACAATCTTTTTACACTTCTGAAAGTAATAAATCCTTAGCTAAGTCTGCCAATATATGGAGTCCTGTAAAGTTCATAACAAACCTAACAGGCTGCATAAAGATTGAAATTCCAATTTTTGCATCAAAAGCTTTAAACACATTGAGTCTACAATTTCTTGAGGCATTTGATGACAGAAATATTTGACATTCTGCAAATATTTAATTTTAAGAATATCATTTCAGTATCATTACTCCATTTGTCCAATGTCATCCAAATGCTATTATTGACAAAACATAATAGCACCTCATACTTCCTATTGGCAAATGGCTTCAAAATTAATATTTGAAATATGATTACATTCAATTATTGGTTTACGAAATCCTAATTCATATTTGGCATTTATCATGAAAATAAGATAGGTTTTGATATTCCACATGGTCTCAATCAAAATAATTCACAGTGGACATTAAAGTGGCATGTCCCCTTTGCTTTAATTTAACTTTTATCTCAACCTTCAGTTAAAAAATCTCATACCTGTATTAATACAGAAAATTCCTAGGTAATAATATTAATGAGCAAAGAGTTGTTGCCCTTTGAAATGAAATATGAATTCATTACTGAGCACATGGCAAATACATTTTTAGTCCCATTAAAACATCACATGAGAAATTATTTCAGGTAAAAATTCTATAGATAAGATAAAGGACACACAGAGCATTTCACAGTAAGCCTTAACATAAGACTGAGTCTGTACGTACCTCCAGAATCTGTTGAGCTCGCATCTCACGCTCAAGTCTCATTTGTTCCTGTCTCTGCTGTTTCTCCTGTTCTCTCAAGGCCCGTAACTGCTCCTTCTGCTTCTTCTTTTCAACAGCTGTACAAAAAAAAAAATTTAAATGTCAGGACTTGACTTCTCAGGGCAGTATAAAAAATTGTGTTACTAAATTAGGATTTTATATATTAACTCAGATCAAAAAAGAAAAGTTTTCTCATTTTTACATGTAAAGTACTTTAAAAATCTAAAATAAAAATGTTACATAAATTCACTGTACTGTTCGAACATTAGACTAAAAACTGATGCATTTTACTTGGTATGAATACCTGAAGAAAAAGTAAAATGTCAACATATTCAGATATTTTAAGCATCATTCTGTGATGAGTCCAGCATGCTACTCATCAGAAAGCACAAAGACATCCAACAATCATGTGTCCCACAAGCTCAGTCAACAAAAGACAAACGTCTTAATGCAATAGGAAAAAATTCTGATTCAGAACTCGACATCAATGTCAATGGCATCAAAATGTTCTTTGACTCTCCTACTTTGTCTGACAACGAGTATGTTTCAAAATTAGTTAATGTTTTTAACGCCTCATCCAAGTTTCACTTTCACATTGTCCGTCACCATTTTCATTTTTATTTAATGATCGCACTTGAACACGTACATGCATTACATCATATACATTCACCCCCTGTTATTTATGGAAAAGAAAGCACATAAACTACATGTATTAGGGTAAAAAACATTATTTTTGCATAAGCTGGGAAATGTTGAAAAAATCAATTAAAGCAGAGAGAAAACCACTTCAGAATGTTAAATGTGTTAATCGTGAAAAAAGCATTTACATTACCAGAAAGCAACCTGTTTGTCAATAGCTTATGCAAAGAATTTTAAGGTTGGAAGTTAAAAAAAAAGCACAGAAAAAAAAACTTGCAGAGTTATCCAAAATAAAATAAATTTTTCCCAAGCAAAACAAGTTAGAGCTTTGAGGTTTACATATTATTCAAAAATTACAGTAACTTCTGCAATATTTTTGTTTTTAAAAAAGTCAAAACAAGCAACAACAAAAAAAATGGTAAAAAAGCACTGGATTGAGGCAGCAAAAGACACAGGAAGCAGTGGGCAGGCCAATTCTGATTTTGTCTGACCTGAGGCACTGGGGTCACATGACAGGATGTTGTCAGGAAGGCAATACATCTGTGATTGCCAGTCAGTAGAAGATGTGGAGGGAGGTTCGGGAGGGTCACTACCTCGTAGTTCCTTGATTTTATGGACTGTATCTCTCTGTTTCTGTTTCTCTGCTTTCTTCTGTAGCTTGAATTCAGCAGCACGTTTGGCCATCTCTGATTTAAAAAAACTTCCATTCACAATTTCACATTTTTCTTCAAGATTTGGCAAGATTTACAATGTTTTGGTAGCACTTCTTTTATACATGCAGATTCTGCAATACCATTTTTATTTGAGAATTCATAATTATAGCTTACATACAACTTTGGAAACACAAAGTTTTCTTTCTTTAAAAAAAAAATTTCACATATTGAACCAGAAGTCTCTGATGAGACTGTAGCTCTACTGGTCTGTTTGTATAACAAAAGAAAAGTAGCACTTGGATTTGAAACATTGCAACATGCAACAATAAATAGAATTATGTATCTTAATGTAGTCTACTTTTGTGACAAGTTATATTGAAATCAAATGAAAACTAGGAGTAGCAGCGTTTTGAAAGCATTTCACAGAAATTCTATTTTTAGTACCGGTAACCATGACAACACCATTCACCCAAATTAAAAAAAAAACAGAAATACATATTATGTATCGTAGTGTATTCTAACTGTGTGCCAAATTAGATTGAAATCAGACCAAAATTGTAGGAGGAGTAACGTTTTAAAGGAATTTCACAGACATTTCTATTTTAAGTAACCATGGCAACACTGTTCATCGAATTCAAAAACCAATGCAATAAATTATGTATCTTAGTATAGTCTTCTTGTATGCCTAATTATATTAGAAGCAGACTAAAACTGTAGCAGGAGTAGTGTTTTAAAGGAATTTCACAGAAATTCCTATTTTTAGTAACCATGGCAACACCGTCCATTGAATTCAAAAACCGATGCAATAAATTATGTATCTTAGTGTAGTCTACTTGTGTGCCAAGTTATATTGAAATCGGACCAAAACTGTAGGAGGAGTAGCGTTTTAAAGAAATTTCACAGAAATTTCTATTTTTAGTAACCATGACAACACCGTCCATCGAAATCAAAAACCGATGCACTAAATTATGTATCTTACTGTAGTCTACTTGTGTGCCAAGTTATATTGAAATCGGACCAAAACTGTAGGAGGAGTAGCGTTTTAAAGAAATTTCACAGAAATTTCTATTTTTAGTAACCATGACAACACCGTCCATCGAAATCAAAAACCGATGCACTAAATTATGTATCTTAGTGTAGTCTACTTGTGTGACAAGTTATATTGAAATCGGACCAAAACTGTAGGAGGAGTAGCGTTTTAAAGGAATTTCACAGAAATTTCTATTTTTAGTAACCATGGCAACACCGTCCATCGAAATCAAAAACTGATGCACTAATTTATGTATCTTAGTGTAGTCTACTTGTGTGCCAAGTTATACTGAAATCGGACCAAAACTGTAGGAGGAGTAGCGTTTTAAAGAAATTTCACAGAAATTTCTATTTTTAGTAACCATGGCAACACCGTCCATCGAAATCAAAAACTGATGCACTAAATTATGTATCTTAGTGTAGTCTACTTGTGTGACAAGTTATATTGAAATCGGACCAAAACTGTAGGAGGAGTAGCGTTTTAAAGGAATTTCACAGAAATTTCTATTTTTAGTAACCATGGCAACACCGTTCATCGAAATCAAAAACCGATGCGCTAAATTATGTATCTTAGTGTAGTCTACTTGTGTGCCAAGTTTTATTGAAATCGGACCAAAACTGTAGGAGGAGTAGCGTTTTAAAGAAATTTCACAGAAATTTCTATTTTTAGTAACCATGGCAACACCGTCCATCGAAATCAAAAACCGATGCACTAAATTATGTATCTTAGTGTAGTCTACTTGTGTGCCAAATTATATTGAAATCGGACCAAAACTGTAGGAGGAGTAGTGTTTTGAAAAATTGTTTACAGACAGACGGACAGACAGACAGACGGACGGACGACGGACACCTTACTATCGCATAAGCTCTTCTGGTCTCTGACCAGTAGAGCTAAAAAAAAGCTACAATTAGAAATAATTCAATTCAAAGTAAAACGAAATAATTTTTATTATTAAACACACCTTGTTGTTCCATCCGTTTTTTGAGTTTCTGCTCCATCATCTGCTTGGCTAGTTGAATCTGTTTGTTCTGTTTTTCCTGCCGTCTGCTCCCTTTCATCTGTTTGATCTTCAGTAACTTCTGTCTCTTACTCTCAATCAGGGCCATCCTCTGATTCACCTGCTCATCATTCAACTTCACAATCTCCTGGAAGAACATTTCTCATAATTCAAATGAAAATCACAATAAACTAATGCTAAAATTAAGTAAAATTATACAAGTAGCTGCACTTTACCCTGAGCTCAAACCAATGAATTTAAAGTATATGCTCATTTTTGTATTAAGTAAATGCACTGTCAAATGCAAAATACCTTTGTGTTCAAAGGGGAAGGGGGGAGCTGAGTGAAAAAATAATGATATTTATAACTGTTTGTACAAGTACTTACTGCAGTCCCTGCTTGTCCTTCAAAGAATTGTCCAACTTTTACCCTTGTGTTGAAGGAGAAATTTTCTCTTCCAAACTCTTTAATATTGTTCCTTTCAAGATACTGAAACGAAGTGCATAAAAATCCTAAAGTCTATTCTTTAATTTTTAACTTAAGAAAATTTCAAAATAGGTAAATCTAAAACATATACATGTATGTACATTATTCAATGTGGTCCTTGATTCTACAAGGTTTATTAAGACAGTGTGAATACAAACTTTTCATGTTACCTTGTAAGCCATAAATCTACAGTTTACTAATTACATGTATATCTTCTACTCTTTCAATTAAATCTTTACCCTCATGACATCAGGAATAGTTTTCATTTTCTTTCCACAAGGCCCATAGTAAAGAACTTCCCCAATGAACCCCCTCTTGCCGATAGCATGGATAGTGGTTGTGCGTCTGAAGCCATTATCAAGAGGGATTTGTAAGGCTGCCTCATCCATCTGGACACGAGGCTTCTTGGTAGGTGAGGTTCCTCCTAAAAAAAATGTGATACAAGTTGAATATTGTCTAATTCATTTTTTTCCTTAGGATTCTATTGAATTACTTCCCTTAGATCATAAGTTCTCTTAAATCCATATAATGGTTAATGTCCAAGTATCTCTCCATTCCATAGAAGTAATGGAGCCAAGGCCCAAAGGGGCTGAGGCCCATTGCTTTTAAGGAATGGAGAGGTACAAGGATACTGACCTACTTAAATCCACTGTTTGTCAATATTTACAACACATGTGATTTAATTAATCAAATAAATATACTTTAACATAATTTTTCATCTCATACGGTACAGAAGGAAGTGTAATGAAGTTATCTAGTAAATACCACTTCGATATTGGCTTAGGTAGCATAGTGTGACGAGTGCTCAACTATGAAGCAAAGGGTAACTGGTTCAATACCTGGTAATGCCCAACTTTTTCATACAAAAATATGTCCAACTTAAAATTTTTCCAAGCACTATCAAGTTTGCACCAAGAAACCCATGTAGGTACGCAAGAGAGAATTTGCTTTTATAAAAACTGTGCTCTCATTGTGATTTGCAACTCCCCATTCCCCCAAAAATGGAGTGTCCAATCAAAAGAGTGATGTCACAAGTGGATTTTAAATTTTAAAAAATCAAGTCTCAATAATCATATCAGGTGATATGACTAGTGTCTTTAAGTATATAAATCTGTCTGAATATTCTCATAACACTCACCCTCTGACATTTCATCAGCACTCCTTTTAGAAGCTGAGCTCCCTGCCTCAAAACTGTGACCATGGTGATCATTAGTTGAGTCTGAGATCTCACTCATTGAGTCCATGCCTGTTTGGTTCTCGTTCTCGCTCTCTGAACCTGTGGATTCTCCAGATCCCGAGTCGTTGGAATTCTCTTCTTCCAACATGGCTCGGACTTTGGCCTCCAGTTTCTCGTCCACAGTCATCTGGTTACTGGGCACAGACTCTGACTTCAAAGCCCCTTCATTTCTCTTCTCTTGTAGCAGCTACAATTAATAAATCACACATGTTTCAGTTAAAACATCCTTTAAACTAAATCCCAGTACCCATACCTTCTTAAAAATACTTTTTTAACCTACCAAGCTCACACAGTACAATTGAAATACTGCCTATTTACCTGATTGATTTTCAGGGAGGCTGAGGGACGTCCCTTGTTGGGTTTTTCACCACTTGCTCGAGCTTTTCGTTCATTCTCTGACATTTTCAGGAGCTGCTGAACTTTCAGTGTCGTCTCAATCTCCTTCTTTTTCTGGTCCTCCAGTTCTTTTTTCTTTTGTTCACTCTTTTCTTGTTGGTATTTTAGTTTGTCTTTTGCTCCCTGCTTCAAAAGTTCTTGTTGTTTCTTTTGATACTGCAAAAATCAGTAAAACTCTATGACAAACACATATAAAGGACAAAATGAAAAGACGTAAATCCTACTCCTGTAATTCCTGTAAAAATCCAACCAATACAGTATAAAGGGTAAAGGAATAAATGCTGCTTAGCTTTTTTAAAAAATCCTGCCAGTAAATCTTGCTTATACAATACAATGAGGAATTTCTGCACTTAACCTTTTTTTGGCAGAACTGTACTGTTCAGTCAAAATGCACAATGACAGAATTGTAAATCCTTAAATAAGATAACTTCAGTAGGCTGAATGGAAAAGCAAAAAAATCAAAAAAAAAAAAAAAAAAAAAAAAAAAGCAGCTGACTTTGCAGGATTTCCTAACAAAGTTGTCAAGCCACAGAATATACCTGTTATATGGTTACACATTAACGGAGTAAATTTTTTAGACTTTATCACTATACATCAAAGTTTAAGCTATACCAGTAGAGCCAGATCTATCTCCTGTTGTTTTTGTTTCTTCATCAGTTTGTGTTCCATCTGTTGAATTCTAAGGTTCGCTTCCAGCTGTACTTTAAGGTCATTTTTGTTCTTCTGCTGCAAAATAAATAGCTTTCATATAAGAATACTCTGATCATTACAAAATAGTAACAGTCCAAAACAACTTTTTAAATCTGTATCCATTTCAATATACATGTATCATTATTTTGGACTGGTAAAAAAATTTCTGATAACCAAATTTTATTCGCATGCAAGAAATAACCATGAGTTTTGTGACCTTGTTTGAATCTCAGATATTTCTCGCAGGGAACCAATTACAAATGTACCATAATCGAATGTTTATTTATGTAAAATATTTCTGCCATCACAAAATTTAAAGTTACATATAAATTTCACACTGAAGAACTGCAAAAAAAATGTTGTTTTACAATTGACTTATGAGAACTTTTTCAGTAATTAGGCTTAACAATTTTTTACACTGAAACTTGAGATAAAATGATACTGAAGAAACTCAGTATACCATACAAAACAACATTTAAATAAATCATTGTAAAAGTGAGAATTTTCATAAAGGAAATAATGATTAATTTTAGAATTACCTCCTTTATCGAAGAGTCATAGTTATGTTTTAGCTATAAACTTGTTCACTTTTTTTCTAAATGTAAAATCCTTTTAGTCACTAACTCATGTTTTATTAGCCAATCATATGTCTTTATAGTAAAATCTTACTAATAAGGCTTCCTGTTCTTTCTCATGCTTCTCTCTCAGTTTCTTCAGCTGGAGTTCTTGTTTCAGCAGAGTAGCATTCAGTTGTGCCTTTAAATGTTCAGCATCTTTTGGCTGCAATACAATACATTTTGGATAAAATATTAATCTTTTTTCTATGTACTCTACATGTAAATCTCTGACAATTCTTACTGTTTTTTTACCACAGTTTCCAGCTTTGATGTGACAAAAACAGCCATTCTGTATAGATGTGACTGAAATCTCATCAAATCTCCAAATTTAACTGAACTGTATCACTTACATCTTCCTCAGTTTCTGCCTGTGCCTGCTTTGGAGGTCTTCCTCTGCCACGCTTCATTGGCTGCATGATGGATGGCCGGATACTCTTGATGGGTTTATTCTGTACCCTCTGTCGTATCTGATCAGCTATTAACTTCTTCTTTAGTCCATCAATGTGTATGGAGGGAGGCTGACTGTTCTTTCTGGAGCTCTCAGATTCATGATCAATCACTTCTTCCTCCTCCTCTTGGTTTCCATTGACAACAGATTTATTTGCAACAGATTCCTCCTCTGAATGGTCTTCTTCACTTGGATGATGGTCTCCATTTTCAAACACCTGAAAAAAGGACCGAATTTTACTTAAGGTTTTATCTTGCATTATGTACGCTTGTTAATACTGATCACGGAGTTGATTTACTAAAAATTGGAGGAGTTATGACTCTTCTTTCACAGTTTCCATTTATTCTTTTAAAATTCCCTCTTTCTGATAAATCATCAGAAAGAAAATGTACACTGTAGTGAACAAAAAGGTAAGATCATTACATTCCCAGAATTGTCTGATACCCATTTTATCTCTAAGCTTTCAACCTAATTCAAAGATATTTCTAATTCTAAAATGCTCCATCCCATTTTTCTCTACCTGTTCCTCCGTTGCATGCTTTCTTTTTGGACTCATCAGACGTGGAGATTCAGATGATGATGTTGTGCCATTGGTTTCTGTATGACATGGTGAGGTAGCAGATGGCAACTTTGATTTCTTGAGCTTCTCAGCCAGCAGCCTATTGCCTGCCAACAGAGAGCGCCCAGCCAGCAGGTTTTTTCCTGATAACAGACTCTCCCCACCACTAGTTACCGTGGTGCTGGTTTTTCTGCTGCTGGTGCTGTTGCTGAAGCTGGTGCTAGTTGTGGTTGCTATGGTAGTGGTGGCCTTGGTGATGGTTTTTGGTGAGGATTTTGGTGTGTCTTTGGAGGGAGATGAGGAATGTGATTTACTGGAAGAACTAAGCTTTCCTGATAATTCTAAAAAAAAATTATGTGCATAATTTACTGTTATATAAACTACAAGTCTTCATCTTTTCATTCATACGATTGCATTTTTATCAAAATGAAATTGCAAAAAATACTCTCTAGAATAGATTTTACTTCTGTTGGTAATAGGTATTTACTGACATTGATTAAGCCTGAAATTGTAATACAAAAAGAAAATACATCAATATACATGTACTGGTATATGCCTTGGGAGGAAAAAAAACAAAATTTCAAGTCTGCAGAAAGAAAAAGGTAACATAAAGGCCCTATTTAGCCCTCTTTTTAGCATGACATTTCAATCAATGCAATGGTTCATGAACAAATCTGTATCAAAATTTGAAATGATTTTATGTAATTCCACAAAAAAAGTCTACAGGGAAGTTGAAAAAATTCTGAATTTCTGCAATTTTGATTGCTTTTGAATATATTTTGAAGTACATTTTGCTTCAGAAAACACAGAGAACAAATATGCTATCTTAAAAAACTTACATCAAATACACTATTAAAAGACATTTTTCTTAATGCAGAAATCAAAGGTTGGGTTTCTCGTGATTTGTGTTTTCCAAAGCAAAATAAAAATTTATCAAAACAGAGCATCTGGAAAACAGTTTTAATGCTATAATTCAAAGTCAATATTGGTTTTGAGTTAAGGGCAATTTCAGGTATTCAAATAAAAAAGTATTCCAATTTTAATCACTACTTTATTTTCACGGCAAATTAGGGGCCAAATTTGATCCTTACCATACCTTGTCCTTTGGCAACACACACAGTCTAAATAAGTACTGAACAAGAAAAATTGATAAAGCATGTAGAAACTAAATTAAAATAATGTATATTCCTCAACTATAATTTTTCAACTTCAAGAGTAATCCAAAATATAAACAAAATCCCTTTCTCTACCACACAATAGAAGAGAAATATTCCACTGAAAGCAAACCAGAAAAGTGGCAAATGAGGTTGAAATCCTAGCTGTTACACTACAATATAAGCAGACTCATTTTTGCAGCAAAATATGAAATAAAATTACATGTTGAAGAAATTAATCAGCAAAATTATCAAACAGAAAGGTTATAAATATGATTCATTTAGCAAAAACTTTAAAAATTGTAAATTCAAAATATCAAACAAAGGAGTTGTGAAACTAATTATCAGCAGCATAAAAACTAAGAAACTTTACAAATATCACAAGGAGAAAAAGAATGACCAATATCTTACTGTCTTTGTCTGACAGTTCTACTTTTGCCAAATCTGGGATTTTTATTGAGAGTGGGGCCCCATTAGGGGGCATCTCCAGATTGAGGAGGGGGCTTGTGAAGCCTGTACCTAGAAGAGAGCCTGCAAAGAAATCCAGATTTCTCTTGTCAATGTCTGTGACCCCCGTATGTCCAAAATGCATCATCTATATTGTTTATTTAAGCCAACAAATCTACATTACATTGTTATAAAAAGAACAATTGACTCATCCCTGTATTTCTAGGTTTACTTATAGTCCATAGCATTATTGTAATAGCATCCTCAATGACATTTCTTAACATAACTCTCACTTCACTCACAAATTCAGTACATATACTCTATGACATGATGAATATGTAGAACATGTAGAATATGAATTCAAAATCACTCCAAATGCAGGTTTACTGCTAGTGCAGATTAAAAACTTCTCCATAATTTTATAAACTAATGCTAGTAACAGTATAGAGTAAATGTCAAGAAAAGTCAGATTATTTATCAATCCTACCCTATAATTGAAATGTAATATCTCAAACATCAATATCTCAAACGCCATGGAGATCTCAAAGTGAGTTGGAAGTCCCAACGACTTATTCTTTAAGTATTTTAACCTCAATGTCTCAAATCTTTTGGATATCTCAGTTTTTTCTTTATTCTCAAGTTCATGATGACAAGATTTTACTATAATACTAATGGACATTCAATAACAGAATGACATATTATTAAGCCCAATTTCATAATGAAGAAAATGCTGTCTGCACCAATTACTTGGTGAAATATACCAGTCTTTTTGATGTGAAATATACAGCTAATGTTTACACTTGACAGAACATGTAATGTTAGTAGAGTCAAACCTTGTCATCTTGAACTCAGTGGAACCAAAATTATAATTAGATATCTGAGGATTCCAGACATACGGAAGTTAAAATGCATAAAGAAAAAGTGGTTGAAACTTCCCAACTCCCTCCAACATTTCCAGGGTACAGTTAAACTTCATTATTTCAAACACCAATATCTTGTAATACTAGAGATATGTCAAAGTAGTTTGGCAGTCCCAACAACATTTTTCATGTTTATACCATGGTTATCTCAGACCATTGGAAGTTTAATCTTGGTCCGGTCAGGTTCAAGATAATGAGGTTTCACTGTATCTGAGATTTCATGTTAGAAATTCTTAAGTTCCGCTGTATAAAAATGTTGCTGCCATCATAAGCCCAAACTCTTGATGAAATTGCAATAAAAGACCTTCTGTGATCACATTGATCTATAAATAAATGTGAATCCCTTACCAGGTGGGAGGCTGGCTAGACCCCTCTCCCCCAGTTCCCCAAATAGGGAGGAGACAGGAAAGGAGGGATAGTGGCCCAGGAGGGAGAAGGTGCCGGGCAGGTGGGCATAAGGCATGCCGAATGGTGAAACACCTGTGAAAATACAAAAAAAGCCATAACATTTTACAGTGACCCCTTTTACTTATTAATTTAATATCATGAGCAAAACATATTTCCAATTATTATTTTTTTTTTTTTTTACATAACTGAGAGATCATATGTTTATGAATGTAACAATATTTCCTGTTCCTAGTTTTGAACAATAATTTATCTACTTAACAAGCTACAAATATCACAATAGATGGCTGCATCATGATTTTGATTGTGGAACTGTATATCGCTGACATTTTGCACAAATATGAATATTGTTTCCTGACGCAAACATTTCATCAGTATCATATGAAACTAGATAGAAATATGAAACAATGTTTGTATCTTTATTTCTTCCATTATTTGGTATTTAGAGCAAGGGCTCTGCCTCAACATTGTAAATCTTTTCTTTAAGCAATAAGCCTTACATCTGGTAGATTATAGATGTACATGGCTGTACTTTATATTATTATGCACATGTACAAAGCAAGCAGGCAATATAATTACCATGTAGCTTTATACACTTGGCAGACATGATAATCAAATCAAACAGTTTAACAATGAACCTATACCAGGAATATTTCCTCCAAATACTTACCCAATAAGCTGCTAGCAGCAGCATTATCAAACAAGTTGTGACTAGGTTGTGGTGAACTTTTCTCTTTGTTTTCCATGATACCTAGGTGAAAATGAAATTGTTTTAATTGTCAATATGAAGAAAACACAAGAAATAACAGTAATGTTTTTCAATTATCACATTGAACCACAAATGCATGAGATAATTACTCCATTAATCTCCTTTTTTAAAAATTTGTTTATTTCAGATCTTAAATTTTAATAAAATTTTTATTTCCCATAATTGTTTACCACTGCAGTACGTCTATTTCATATTTTTCAAAACATTCCTTTTTTCAAAAACAACTCACTCTTTTAACCTTACTGGATATATCTTACACACTTTTCATCCCTTAAATTTTATGTGACTGAAAGTTGAAAGTTAATTATAATTCAGACTCAATAGTTATATGCCTTAATCCCTGCATTTTCAATTGAGGTTTATAATCAAAGACTTGGCCAATTTCAGTCCATTAAAACAACTCTCTGGGCTTCTGTTCAGTAGCTTTTATTCCTATCTTTTATCTGTTCACCAGCAATTGTCACACACAGTCAAAGACTTGGAAGTGACAATATGGATTTTTCACAACGGAATAAACAGCAGTCTGTTTTTTTTTCTTCTCATATTATTTTTTTCCCTGCCTCTCTCAACTCCACAGCTCAACATTCAAGTGGAAAAAGATATTCCTTTTTTTTTTTTAACTCTGTGTATTGTATGTGTGCCATTAATAATCGGCTAGGCTTCATATTGATTCTGGGCACAGCTAAAGAAGTATAGATACAGACCGGGATTAATTTATTTATAGCATGATACCATTGCCACTCTATCTTTCTTCTGCACTCTCCTTCGAAATTTTTTCCTACCAATTGCCATCAAACTTTCTCCTCTGTGGAGAATTAGCAATATACTGGAACTGAATTGCTAACTGTTCAGTACATTCATCTTGTGGTTTCTCAAGATGTGCTGCTGACGATATATTTGACCAAAAAAAAATCATCCCAGCTTAAATTTGTTAACATTTTATGGTGGTCTCAAATAACCTTGCTTGGTAGTTCAGACACTGCCTGCTAGAGCTTGTAAATTTTCCTTTGATTCCAAAGACAAACAAATTAAAAGAGTACCAGAATCAAAGAGACCACTTCTCGAAAATTTGGGTGGCAAGGATGGTTAATGAGAAGGATTTTCTATGCCTCTAAAAAAAAAAAAATACTGCACAGCAGTTGCTTGAAAAAAAAAAATACTAGTAGGACTGGCTTGACATCAAATAATGTCACCATGACATGAAACACTACACCGGATAATGACTACAGATAAGCCAAAACAATTACTGGGTTTATACTGTATTTATACATTCACTATAAATCTATAGGTGAAAATGGTTGAAATTTGAAAAAAAAAAAATTTAAATGGTGATATTGTTCTTTAAACCAAGAATTTGTGTCATTTAACAATTCAGTGTGATCTAGGAATTATTCATATATCTGACTAATCGTTTTCAACAACTCATGTTACATTATAGTTGTATTGTATATCCTATACTTCAAGTTTTGTACTACCTTTATCGGGCTTTCAAACCCTTCACTAATTCATAGCAATAAAATCATTTCAGAATAATACTGCGGTATTACTTTTGTGAATTCAGTGCTCTGGTGTGCCATCTATCATGTAAATTACATGTATTTGTTTCTTTGATCAATAAATTTTCTTGATGCTTGTCATACATGGCTTGTCAATTTCTCATGTTGATCAATAAAACTCCTTGACAATTACATCTCTTTGGTTTTCTTGTATCTGGAAAAGTTTAGATCTAATGCCATCTGTGAAACGAAGAACTCACTCATTCAAGTCTCTACTTCTCATCGACACAATTTTGACAAACTTCTACAGTATAATATGAAACTTTGTTCATTATAATATCTTGGGAGATATATGTGAATCTTTTTCAAATCATTTTCAAGCTTCATTCAGGTTGACAACATGGCATTCACCATTCTTTTGCTACTTTCATTCATCAACTTTTAACTTTATCATGGTTATATATGTATATATACATCAAACTGTGGTTTTTTTTCACCTATCATGAACACAAGTGAAGACTTTTAGATTTAGGTGATTTAACATTAAGTCACACATGAGTATAATAACAATGAAATAGATGGTGTCCATCTGTCAATCAATACTCGTGGATGTCCGACACCTGTCCACACTTTACAGGTAACACTCAAACAAAAGAAAACACCTTTGTATTCCTACACCTTTTAAAAAGTGGAGAAATCTACCAAATTTTATATTCCACAAACAATATCCCAGGACATTAAAATAACTGTTAATTCTTACACGATTTTTGCTTAAATGATTGAAATGGGTGCTGGAATCTAATTTTTTTTTCTTCTAAGTTTGTGTTTACACCTGAGCTCGTTTGTCTCCAAAGTTAATAACAACTACTGATGTCGTCTGTTTAAAACGGCCATCGGGCGATTTAATATAGAACCTCAACAAAGTTGAATTGATCCCCTATCATTTTCACTTGGACTAAACAATTCAAAATAGACCCACACAAAAGGTTATATATAGCAGGAACTGCTTTTGAGATACAGCTATCTGTGGTTGTGAAATCATGTCGAAACTGAGTCATGTTTAAACGGATAAAAACTACACAGGCATATGGCAAACAATGAATTATAAATGAACATTTTTTCTATCTACCTACTCTATGACAGCATATAAAAATAAATTCTTTTATGTGCGTGGAAAAATCTTAAGAAGAGTGTGTGTGTGTGTGCATGAGTTAATATGCCCTGAATTTAACATCCTTCAGCTCTCTGGAATTTTGATAAACTGCAAAGATCTATCAAATGTCTTCATCTACATTTATGTGTTAACAGCAAACAACAGAAAACATTATTAATAGATTTCCCTAAATTAACTTTGAAAACGACATAATTAAGAAGGCAAAACTTTTATTTCCTGATTGAGAAAATTCCAAATTTTGTTTTCCTTTTCGATGTTTTTAACTTCGTTAATGTGTTTTTGTTCTCTGAACATTGTATGTCTATTATTAAATCTGACATAAGTGGTTTGAATTTATTTCCCAAAACCTTAGTAAAACTGTTCAGTAAGGCACACCATTTTTGTATTCATACAAACAGAACTCCCATTTTTTCACTCAATTATTGCTTTTCGACTTTGCTTACCAGTACTTGTCTTAGCCATTCTTTTTAAGAAAATGGAAAAACCTCTAGAAATATTTTTATAGATATGAAAAATCCTCATACAGCAAACTGTCTTAAGCTACCTACACAAGTATTACATATCATGGATCAAGGGAGGTAATGATGTAAGAGCTGTTCCAATTGACCTTATAATCAACACGATAAGGAATATTTGATAACTGATGACAGCAAATACAACATTATATTGATTTTTGTAGTTGCCTGTTTCTAACCCTTATGTCTTTTGTATAAGCTTAAATATTCCTAGCTGTGGCAATGGAATCTTTGAGCCTGGCTATAGATGACGATTAATTGCATTTGTTGGCAATACTTACAAGCTCTATTGCAGAATTGCAGGGACGGAGACTAGCTAGCTTTGACTTGTAGTTAAGTTGTGTCTTTTAAGGTTTTTCATGTTTGTCATTGTCTGGAAAAAAGAAAAAAGATATTAAGAATACAGAATGAAATGACAAGTAACCTTTTGTGTTACAATTCTTCACATATAATATACATTTACCAGCACATATTTATAAATGATTCATGATAGATATTTATGGACAATCTCACTCATGAATCTTAAGTTCTTCAACGAAATTTTGCTACTAACATTAAACAATATGATAATCAAACTAAAATACAGCAATAAAACCATTTCCAATTCATGAAAGTTAATATGTATTCATATGCGTCATTCAAAATTCCCAACATCGCTATATATAAAACAAACATTGAGTTATCTTATTGATGAAATTCAATGAAAAAGAAATTGAAACCAAGTCATAATGTGAAAATGGGGAGTAAATTAAAAACTGATGTACTGAGTGTAAAGTGTACAGCAAAAAAAAAAAGAGCAAATCTCTCTCTCTCTCTCTCTCTCTCTCTCTCTCTCTCTCTCTCTCTCGTTTTCATGCTATTATACCTAACCTTCAAACAGGCAAAGATGCCCCTAAACTACTCAGGTGTTTCACATATTTTGTGATTTTGTAAGCTCTGAAATCAAAAATCAATACAAGACAGTTTTACAAATAACACTCAATTCTACATTGACTCATTTCCCAATCTGTGTGGTGAAGCAGACAGGTTTCCTCCACAAGCCCTTCCTATGATATTATTATTAAACAATGTGTAAAACAAAAGAAATAAGCTTTTCATGACGAAATATTTTCACGGAAGTCAAACTTCACATGTCTTCAAAGAATAAGCGAAACAATGAGATATTTTTCTTTACAATCTGTGTAAATTGGAGTAGCAGAAAATATTTTATTCCACACATTATACGACCTGCACATACATTTAAAGGTAAATAAAAAGAGTCATGTATAGAACCATTGCTGTGAAATAAACAGGAAAATTTGTGTGTCGTCTAAAAATGTGACCTCGATTAACCAACACATGACTAACAACACAATCTTTTATTTCCATATCTTAAACCACACAGGTAAATACATGTATATTCTCTCTCAAACTTTAAAATCTTGTAACAGAGGGCTTGGCAGTTGTTGGAATGAAGCTAAATTGTTTTTATTTGAAAAAAAAAAAAAACTGTCGGGAAAGGCCAGCTCAGATATCAAAAAGTTCGAATATTCGTCAATTTTTAGAACATATACTCTGTAAGAATTGACATTCAAGCACACACATTGATGTAATTTCATTGTAAACAACTCTTCTTTATAATATCATTTAACATTTATTACTCAATAACGAAGCATTTTATAAGAATATTTGCTATGGTGAATAATTCCTGGTCACAAAAAATCAAATTTATTTTTTCTAGAACACTTTTTTTTTTATTTTATGCTGTACACGAAAGAGGAATGGTGAAACCAGCATTTCTGAATAGCTAAAA